CATTCAGAGGGGTAACAATATCAGTTATAATACATGTATCAATGTGCTCCGTATTAATATGCTCTTAAGCAATTGAGCCATACCAGACAGTATTGTAAGCAGTAGAAGAAACACATATACACAATATAAGAGTCACATGATATATCGTTTTTTCATTCATATTTGAGATACACAAAATTTTAATTTTTATTAGATAGTGTATATATATTTTATCATTTTTATTATTTATTGTGATTATTTTTTTGTAAAAATCAACAAAACTATAACTATTTTTTATAGAATTCATGTTAATATTCATGAACAGTGAATAAAACAAATTTACAAATTATTTATTCAAAAATAAAATAAAAATTTAATAAGACTGCAAGTAAAAAATATATCCTTTACAAATTGAAATGAAATAAATTAATTATTATTACACATGCATATAATAGTAGATGATTGTTTTTTTTTCCAATTTTACTAAATATTTCTAAACTATATTAATATTCACAAGTTTAATTCCAAAAATTCATCTAATATATTCTAATTAGTATATTAAAACAACCCTGAATGCTAATTAAATTATTATTGTTTTCAATCCATGTGGCATTGTCGCCATTTTAAGAGAAAACAGGCCCAGAAATAAACATTGCCACACTTATAATGACAACAATGTCAAAATAGTTAAATTTTTTTAAAATACTATTTAAGTAAATTTATTTATTATTACTTTTTTTTTATGAAATAGCCAGAGGCTATTATACGAGCCTCCAACCACCCCTAATATTCTTAACAATTCGAGTACCACCTCCTTATGGCCAACTGTGTCAAAGGGGATTTGAATCCCTAAACTGAGATGTCTTAAACCGTGAATGCCAACCAACATGACGGGTGATCCCTTCCTCTTAACTCACTATTAATTAAAATATTCAAATACTCAATTCACATAATTTTGTTGTAAAATAATTTTAGTTTTAAAGATAATCGTTCGGACAAATATGCAAATATGTGCTAGAATCAGATCCAATTTAATTTTTTTTTTAAATTTAGATTTACGTTGACTTATGTAAACTTTAACTGCCCGTTGCAACCAAAATTTAATTGTGTAATCTGAAGAAGTAGTGGAGTTGATTCTTGGATCTACCCACGACTGAGAAAATAAGTCGAGTCTAGACATGCAGTTAAGTAACATCTATGGGTGTAAACGAGTCTGAGTCGAGTTTGAACCACCTCGGCTCGTATTTTAGCTAGATAAGGTAATCAAGTTCAAGCTTGAGCTCAAGTTTAAGCTTAAGCCAACAAGTTGGAGGCAACTCAAAAGTCGGGTTGTTCATTATAGAAGAAAGAAAACTATATTAATTTTAAGTTAATGCTATATTAAAATAAAAAATAAAAATGAACAATTAAAAGAGAAATAATAATAAATCACTCGATAAAAAATATAGAATATCATTTTTAAAAATTTAGAATAATTTAAAGATAAAATCTTGTAATTTAATATACATTTGAATATATTATATTAATATTTTAAACGAGCAGGCTCACGAGCTAATGAGTCCGATCAAGGTTGGCTTGTGCTTGGCTTATTAGCTCATCGAACTCAACTCGCGACTGAGCACGAGCCAGCTCACAAGTCAGCTTGACTCACTTACATCAATTTATGTACGGACTCAAGCTTGACATATTAATAAGGGGAATGCATGAGAATAAAAAAACAAGATATAGATGTTTTCATAGGGGCCCTTTAATATCACTTTTATATTTTGTTTCCTATTTTTTATTTTATTTTATATTATTTTATTTATGTTTTAATTTAAAACAAGCGATACATATTTGACAAATAAGAATGCATAATATTTTTATTTTTATCTCCAGACAATCTTTAAGAAATCAAAATCAAAATTTATGTAAGGCTAGGCAATCAAAGCGGCGAATCATCAGACACCACTTGGTTTGAGTTTTGCGACTATTGGGAATGATTTTGTTATGTTCAAAACCCTGTTGAAATTAAAACCCAATTTTCTTTTATCATAGCAACCTAAAAAAGCTCAATTATGCCTTTAATCAAAATCAACTAGATTATTAAGTTACAAATGTAAGAATAACATCGTTTATTTGTAATTTCTGCAAATCTGCTGATATCGTTTACAAGAATCTAATACTCAGTTCAGCCATATTCTAAGAACCCTATTTCCTATTTTACCGTAATCACCGGTTAGTTTCCATTATTTGCCTGTTTGGAACAGCCTGAATTCAATCTTCCTCAACCAAAATCTTCACACTTTCTGACTAATATCAAGTTTGCCTAGCATAGAAAGCTCAGTAGCAAAACATTTAAGTCCCAAATAGCTGTTTCATGGTTCTTGAATAAATATTCTAATCTACTAATTCATTCTTCCTTCACTAGCTGAGTAAAAACATATAATTTCTAGTTTATTGGAACCTTTTTTATACTAAAATAGTGGTTTAATGACTCCTAAGCTGATGTTAGAAGCTGTTGTGGTCATGCACTACAGTTGCTATACATGCATGAGGATGAAAGGTAATATTTCTTCTGAAAAAGACGCAGTTTTGGGGGGTATGAAATCAGTCATTGTAACTGCTCAACCACTTCAAAGAGATGCTTTCAGCATAGAGGAACTTGACTGCATAAATGGTGGCTCTTTGTTGTTACTCTATTATATCTATATATTTTGACAGCTGAGCTTGTAATATTCATGATAGCTTGAAAATTTCTAGGATTGCCTGCAATTACTATCCTAGTAAGGACCATTAAGACATGTGAGAATATTGAGTTTAGTCTCATATCTTACAGCCAAAAAAATATATTATTATAGTAATATAAGCGGTAGAATCATACCCATATAATTAAATTTTTGTATTGAAAATGGTTTAGACTCTACTTTGATGCCCTATTGATCTACACTCCCAAACAAAAATACCTATTTTCGTCTTTATATTAGGTTTAAAACATGGAAGATTTACATACACAATTCCTATGTATTTAAATATCTAACACTAAACTTCAAATTTTACATATATGACAGCTTATCAATGAATGAAAAGGGGTATTTCATTTTTTTTTAAATTGAAAGTGGTATTTTGGATGTGATATGAACTATTTAGGTCATTAAAATGTAAAAGGTAAAGTTAAGATGTTAGATATGTAAATACATAGGAATGGGGTGGTATGTATGTAAATGCCTCTCAAAACAAATGTTAATTCAATTGCTTGGCAATTTATTGAATCTAACCAAACCAGCTCAAACTAGGCCTTCATTGTTTAACCAATAAGCATTTCTATTAAACCCCCCTTGCCATACCAATGTCTGAAATGCATTAGATCTGCTAGATCAGTTTTGTCAAATTTTCATGCAGGCAATTTTGTGAGCGCTAATAACATTACGATAGAAATTTCAAATGTCAATAAATATTAGGCGGTACTTTGTACCTTACAGGCTATGCATCTATGAATTACCCTAAATAGGCAAGATAACATAACAGTGATGATGGTTAACGCTGTTATTATTTACATCAGTAGTTGTCAAATCATTTCAACTATAATTAGGATCCCTCCCTCCTTCCTAGATAAATCTAATCCTTTTTAGAAGCACTCCAAATAACTTTGATGTCTTTTGAGTGTTTTTAAGAAATACTATCACAAATGGCTATATCATTATCGTCCGCACCGACATTGCCTGGCCAATGATCATCATCACTGCAAGAACAAAATTATTTTTTTTATTTTTATTTTTTACCTTTTTCCTCCCGCTTGATCTTTCCTTCTTGGTCGCTGCTCTCCTGAATTTCCGATCTTTCCTTTTCTTCTTCCCGCCTGTCCTTGTAGCCTTCACGTTTCGCCAAGCCTTGTTGCTCTATAAGAGGAGTTAAACCTCATCCGACTGCCTCCTCCCTCTCTCTCCCGATTTTGCCCTGCTTCTTGCTCTCGTTCCCGAGCCCTTGCGATACAACCGCAATTAGAGCTAACCTACAAGGCAGGGACGGGACCGTAGGCATGCAACAAACACTGAAAAGTCTTTCTCCTGCTTTCGTCCGCTCCTTACTTTCTCAGGAGGTGATTTTTTTATCCAATAATTTAAGCTTTATTGGGAGCAATGACTTCATTAATTGTTGAAATTCAGAATGCATCAGCAACAAGTACTCATCGTGCTTAATGAACGAACTTGTAATATGAATCAGCTTGTAATGCACCTTTAATATTTTAATATATTAATGATGTGACTTATCATTCAAAATCACATGTAATCAATCTAAATTTAATAATTTGAATCTGGCGAATGATGGCACATAACGTCAAAATTCATTTTCTCCTTTTTACAAATAATTCTCAATCAACTCATTTGGAAATTTCTCTTTTCTTTCTTAAATTTCTTCTACAATTCCTACAGAGTTTAAACCATTTCAAAGGTAAGGGGGGGCATTCAGTCGGTTTAAATGGATCGGTTTATAACTTAGTTAAACCAATTGCAGCCAAAATTTGAAATACAAGGATAGAACCAAAATGTTATTCAATTTAAAAGATTTAATTAAAAACAAACTAAAATTTAGTTGTAAAATAGAAGTGAATTTTATCACTATTTCAAAAGTTGGTGTTTGTAATTTTTTTTCATAAACAATTTTATTGTTTTGCTTCTAAAATGCAATTCCAATGGAGCATGGATGAATGATGAAAACAAACCAGGAGATTATGTAAATATTTCACATGATTTTTTTAGTAGACAACAACTTATGTTAAAATAATCATAAAATCTAAATAAACCAAATAATTACGTCGTAAAAAGCCTTGGCCAATTAGGTTAACAATCACAAGATCTAAGCAAATATTTTTTAGAATAGGATGAAATGGTGGTCAAACTATTTCCCACGATTGTGCGTGCAAGCGTGCATCCACAATGTAAACTATAAAAGATGCTTCAAGAATGCTTAATTCCATGAGAAACCCCATAAGCTTCAATGACAGTTCATATTAGCACAGGCACAGTCAAATATTTAAACTATTAAAAACTTGCAGATTCAGCCATGATCCATAAGTCTAACTAACAACAAGCAAAGTAACAAAATCATTACAATTTAATACTATAATACAAAAATCATGATTGTAACCTGACCTAAACCAAAACCAGGAAAACAAAACGATAGCATAATCTGAATCATTTTTATACCAAAAGTACCTCAGACCTCCTAGGTTTGTTTGGAGTACTTGGGTTTGAGGCAGGCCCTTTGGCTGTCTTCCTTATCATATTATCAAGCTTGATCAAACTCCGAGCAGCCAGAATCACTTGGGGTGTAATATCATGTGAGGCCCGAGCATATACGCAGCGGATAGCAGCTGAACCTGCATCCCTCACCTCTGGTGGAACCAATAGAACCAGAAGGCAGTGAGCCAAAATCTTTAGGACCGGCTGCATGAGTTCCCAAGGCAGTGGGACTCTTGAGCACCTTCGCGAAGCCCGTTCACCACAGTTTCTCATCTCTGGCGATGAAAAGAAATTCACATCATCATCAAAGTCATAACGACAGGGACAATCTTGGCCAGCCCATGACGAAACAAACTCGCAAAAAACAATCTTTGAAAGTGGAGGCATGCGACGGATCCTTTGGTGGTAGCAATCAAGTGCAATTCCAACAATCCAAGCACGCTTGGTGGATTTTACGGCGATCTGCGGCTCTAATGGCAGAGAGAGCAGACCAATGGTAGGTTTATGCGCTGAAGCAGAGCCCTCCGACGGAGTATGGTAGAGCAACGGATGCAATAGATCCGGAACCGAGATAAGGTGGGGTTTGCACGAGCTGGCCTTGACCCCGGTGACATAGAGCGCGAGAAATACGGCTTCGAAACCAGCAAGTGCAGGCGCAGAATCAGAAGCGAAAGAGCCCGAAAGAGTGACCATGCGGGAGAGGTAGAAGCCGGAAAGAAGGGGGACTAAAGAGAGGACAACGAGGCGAAGGTCGGGATCTGATGATTGGCACGCCTCGCAAAGCCACTGGCAGAGTGGGTCGTCACCCGACCCAGAGGAGGTGTGGGAAAACGCGGCGGAGAAAGCGAAGTAGGCATCACTGGAGTTGAAAAGGGAGCGAGCGGGACAGTCCGATTCGGCGAGGGCGATGAGTTTAGGGGAGCCGAGGAGAGAGGAGAGGGCGTAGATGCGGGACTGGGCATTGGAGAAGGATTCCCAACAGGACTGGTTCGTGTTGCTGGAGCTGGAACCAAGGTTACGGTTAGGGTTGGGGTTGCAGCCAGGATTGTTGGCTTCAGAAGCAGAGATGGTGGCGGAAGAGGACGAAAGAGGGGAGCCGTTGGTCGTTGCCATAGAATGAGAGAAAAAATATGGCAGAAATTTTGAACGTATTAGGGGGCTGTTTGGTTGCAGGATTTGAGCAGATTTTAAGCAGATTTAACCTAAATCCTTTCAAACAGAAAAAAAAATGACAACAACAAATCTTACAGGATCTCAAATCTTGTTTCTCATTTATTTTGCCTTAATTCCAGGATTCAGTAAATACCGTCGGATGACGAGAAAGCTGAGGGATTGTCGGGTAAACGAGATATATACGGAAGTTTCGGAGCGCGGAGCGCTGCAGGATTAAGGAAGGGAAAACTGAGGGTTTGTAGGTTGGGGTAGGAGCCTAGCGGAAAGAAGAGATATACGGTAGTTTCAGAGGGCGATCTCGTCGCTGTCTTCCTCTGGTCGCGACTGCACCACTAGGGTTTAGAAGAAGGAAGAGGCAGCGAGGTTAGCGAAGTTAGTTTGCAGGAGAGCGGGAACGGCGAAAGATTTCGGGATTTAACATAATTTTATTCAGGGGTTTACGTAAATAGCACCGAATTCTTACGCTTTCACAGATTATCTAAACTTTATTTTTTATATTTGGTTCATTTCTATTTTTTTTTGTCACATAAAAATATTATTATTTTAACTTTTAAAACGTGAAATATAATTTTTATGTATAAATAAGATGACATGTATATTCAAAATTTAAATTTCGGTGTTAGAATTGTAAATACTTAAAAAATTGACTAATATGTATGTATATCTTCCTTTTATTCAAGTTAATTTATTTAATTTAATTTATTAATATTAATATTATTAATTATATTATCCAATTAATTATAATTATGTGAATTTATGTATAACTTGGGAATTTACATACACATTATCTCAAATATTTTATTTTTACATATCTAACATTGTAAACTCTAAATTTACACACATTCCACCTTAAAAACTCAAGCCTCTACATTTTTTTTTAAACACGGAGTCATCACTTCCATCACTCTCAGTTGGTTGAAAAATATTTGTGTGTGCAAGACGTACGTAGCGCTGTGTATGTCAGGTAGGTTACATAGAGAGTATTGAGGGTTATATCCGCGTTATATCTCTATAACCTCCCAGTAACTTACCTGTAACTTAGAAATATATGAAAACAGAAGCACAAAACTTACTAGTTACAGAGAGATTACAATGGGTATAACAAAGATATAACCCTCAATACCTTCCATGTAACCTACCGGACGTACGCAGCTCTGTGTATGTCTTACATGACAAACACATATCCTCCCTCATTTCCACGTCAACTCCCAACTCTTGTCCTGTCTTCTTGGTAAAAATAATACGTGTGAATTAGCTATGTTATTCGCTTGATATTAGGTTGTTTTCAGGTGAATACCAACTCAATACTACCAATCAGCACATGCAGGTAAAAAATAATTTAATATGAAAAGAATAATATTCACACATAACCACATTAAGGTAGATTTGCAGTTTCATCTTAAATAAGTAATATTATTGAGTTATTAACAAATTTGTTAATGAACTTTGGACTTGGTTAATGAACATTAAAAGATATTATTCATGATCATAAATGAATCGAAGTGAACAATGTGGTCATCGTTAGAGAGAAAATTATCAATAACTAAATTATATTCCCCAAAACAATAATGTAATATCAAAGTGAACTTCGAGTAATGCGCATAATTAAGCTTAATCAAGAAAGAAAGCATTCCAGTCTAGTAAAAATTGAATAACTGATGTTTTATGCTGACGAAGCTCCAACTCTGTCACGAGGTATGAGGCGCAGCTCAGAACCATGTTTGAGAAATACATTGCCTGCATCCAACGGCCAAATACTGCACAAAATTATTACCAGAACAATGGTGCAGGAGGCAATAAATGTTGTCATGAAACACAAATTAAAGGTAATGAGAAGAAAAACAAACTTAAGCCACGTTATTAATGAGAAAAATAAAAGGGAAACAATGCTTTGAACTCCAACATGAAACTACAATCATAAGAGGAATGTTATAATTATCCACCCAGATTAAAAATAAATTGCCAGTAGGGCCTTTAAATATAAGGTCAAAATCACTTCTTTTCGTACTTTTTAAGATCATTTATTTAGTAATTAACCAAATGCATACAAAATTTCATAATCATCTTAATGTAAAGAATTTTAAATGACATGGAATCAAGTATAGCTGTTGCTTATAATCCCTTGCATTTGACCATATAAATCATGATAAAAACTTGATAAAATTTGATCACCATATAAATCTTACATTGTAAATCATAAAAAATAGTATGATTTTGAATTGGAAGATTATATTTGAAAAGAAGAGAGAGAGAGAGAGAGAGAGAGAGAGAGCATAGGATTCTTTTAGGAGGGAGAAAAGTCCCACCTCATATACACACAGTGGTAGTGTTAAGGGAATACATGAAGATAAAGATGAGCAAACTTGAGAAAGTGGAGAGTGCTCGAGAATAACAGCCTTCCTCCGCCTACATATTAAATTTGAAATTAACAGAGATTAAACACAGCTAATCAAGAAGAATATTTTGCGATGGTCCATTTAGAATTGTTAGGGCAGCCGGATGATACTTTGTTAAAAGAGCGGACATTAATTTCCTTTTAAAAAGTGATTCTTTATTTTAGAATGATTCCTTCTGTTTTTAAAGTCTTGTTTGCTTTCTTCCTTTTCTTCATTTATTGCTGTCCCAATCAGTCCGGTTTCTTATCCATCTGATACAAGTTCATTAAAGTATCTCAACTGTGCTCAAGGGAGGCTTATCTTCAGTTTTCACATCTTCATCTTTCATTCATTTGATCTGAATTCTTATTGAATCAATTTTCAGCTGGAGAAGTCAACAAATCTAAAAGTAGTTCCCTATACGCTTTAAAAGAACGAACCATATATTGTTCAGTAAATTCATGTGTGTATTTCATAATTGATTTAAAGATATTTCTTGATATTGGTCAAGAAAATTATAGTATCCATCAACCGGATGTTAAAGGAAACATTTGTTAAAAAATAACCCAATCCAAGTGAACTAAAGCATTTCTTTTAGCTCTCAATGCCACATTGAATACAAGCAAAAAAACAAAACTTATTGTAATGCACAATCAGAAAGGATTCTATACAATAAACAATATGGATTAAAGCTTATTCAATGAAAATAAAATCAAAATGGAGAATAAAAAATTCTCATGGGGTTATATTTAGGCAACGCCCATGTTGTTTTATGTAGAAAAAAAATCATTCATGGTTGATGGTTATGACAAAAGAGGCAATAACAAAAAGAATACGTAAACAAAAGAGGCAATAAACAAAAAAAAATAAAAATAAAAATTATTCTATAACCAATTTTACTTCTAAGAAATAGAATTGAAGTTTTAAATTACATTCTTAAACTACAGAAAATAGATAGATGCGGCAATTAAGTTTAAACAAACATGTAAAAAATTTTGAGCAAAAACCATAGAAATAATTAAATTGCAAAAGTTTTAGTTTGCTAGTTTAAATTAACTCTCAAAGCTCATCCCTGTCAAGAGAATAATTCCAAAACAAATTCATACATTAACAATATAAGCATGAAGCAAATCTTTGGGATAAATATTAGTGTTAAAAGTATCATCGTAAAGCATACAGGTTGATCTAGCACAGTTAACACCAAAAACTATAGCATCCTGTTTTGTAAACCACAAGGGCAGAATAAGTCTAAATTGGGCAAATGCAAGTAGAGAACTCGACAAAGCTATAGAAACTAATGGTTTCCAACCAGCCATATTTCACAAATTATAGCACACGCCTTTTGAAACTAAGGCTTCCTAACAAAACAAAGAACTGTGACACTATCATTGATCACCCTACCGCTACAAAAAAGATCGCTCGCCTTCTTATGTTGCTTATCACCAAAATAACTTGTCTATAACTTCAAAATAATAAGATAAGTGACATAATAAATATAAATCCAATTTATGCAGGGAAACATTCATGCCCAAAGAAGCAATTATTTCAACCAAAGCAACATCTAATCAAACATTATATTGAAACTAAGGCGTGCAAAAATATCTAATGAGATCAATTTGAGTCAATTCTCACATGTCATGGTTCAATTTCAGTTCCTAAAAGCTAAAATATATATCATATAACGGGCAAGTAATGCTAGTTGTGCAACCCAGAACTAGAAATAACTGAACTAAAACGATTTATAAAAATTACTTCTCAAAAGAATCAATTAATTACTCAAATATTGAATTATATCTTAAATATTTTCTTCTATAAATATGTAAGTTTATATCTTGTAAGCGATGCTAGCACATTATCCTATATGTTTGCATTTAAATTGTTTAAAACAAAAAAAACTCCCTATTATTTAGTGTATGCTAATTTCATTTAATTAATTTTAATGAAAATGAAATGTGAGAACTCAATTATCTTCAATGACATTCCCAAAAAAAAAGTTTTAAGTATTCTATTTTTATTTAAAAAAAACCAAACATAAAATAATGTTAGGCCCTAGAATGTAATTGGACCTAAGGATTGAATTAGATTCAAGCTAAAAATTTCTGCTCTCTCCCTCTCTCCCTATCTCCCGCATTTTCCGTTTCTCATTTCCTCCATCTCTCCCCCCCTCCTATTTAAGATTTGTATCTATTTTCATATTTCTTCTCTTCAAATTGTGTAAACATTTGAACAAGATTTGTAGGACAATTAATTAAAATACTTGTCAAATCAACAAAGGTTAAGAAAATAAATAAATTCATGAAAAGAAGAAATCATTGGAATTTTTGAATATTTGAATCAGTCTTTGTTTCTTGGTTGACTCATCATCATTGCCATTTGCCTTATCCTGATTGTTTTGAATCAATTTCATGAATCCCCATTCATTGAGTATTGTTGAGTGTCAAGTGTGTATTTTGGTTTGCAAAAGTCACTTCTAGGCAACACAATCATCATCTTTGCTCCGCACCTTTCAAACCTAATTCTTTCACATTAATTTAATCACCACCTTATGTGTTTATCTCCTATACTGAGGAAGTCACCTATTCAATATAAATACGTTTATGTTCAATGGGCTCTATTTTTCAGGTCATTGATATAATTATTTATTTAATTTATCTATAATTTTCAGGTAATCATCTTAATATTCGTACAAATTCAACTTGATGATCAAAAGCTTCTTTGTTACAACCATATAAAATAAATTGTCTAAAATTATACAGCTTACCTCAAAAACTAAATGTTATTCACTTGGTACGATATAATCACTAGGCACTTTTTTGCCCAAGTACTAGCTTCGCTCAAAAGCTATGCCCTCATGAGAAGTTTGGTGGCCTACTCTTAAGTAAACTACTTATACAATTTAAATATAGTTTACCATAAGCATAAGCATAATAAGCAATATCACTAACAAATAGTGAGGAAAATATGAATCAATCTATCCAATTACAATTTAGATTTAATAAAAAGTGATGTTCATGAAGATTTATGTTTTCAGTGACATCAACGCCACAGGGCCAAATGCTTTGGTGGATGAATGCATGATTGACAAAAAGAACATAAACAACTATAGCCACCTTTAGATATTGAAGTAGCACAAGAAACAAATGAAACTAAAACCTAGAGACATAAATCTCCTAGTAAATTATGAAAAAAAGAATGAAGGCCATTGAGGCATACCCGCATTTTGCTGAGGATTGATCCCAACGCCATCTGCACAAAAATGAAAAACCATTAGAGTAAACAGTGAAAAGGACAAACGATTGCATGAAATTTTTCCACCTAGAAACATAAAAATACTTAACATTAACGATTACATTACAAGGCAGCAAACAGGTTTCTTCCAATATGGTGCTTGGAACTTGAGGGGAAAAAAATGAATAGCCAAAATAAAAAAAGTCATGCATAGACCTTGAATCTGATAATTAAAAGGACAATTTTATTAGTTGCCACCCTAAAAAAATTTAGCATATCAAACTAGTTTTCAATAACATGTACCCCGACCTAATCTATACCTTCTTACTAATATGTCACTCAGGCAATTCTTATTACCACACTCTAAGATTAGAAGAGATAACTAACCCAAGACTTTAACCATTTTCTTTATCAAAGTTGGAAGAGCATCACACTGCCAAAATCTCTATATAATTGTCCAAATACCTCCTCTATCCCCTACCTACTTTCGTCTCTTTCCCTCTCTTCAAACCCTCAAATATTGTTCTTAATGCCATAAGTGGTTGTCAAAGAACCTTAAACCTTCTCCAATCAATCTTCATGAGTAGAGAGAGAGTATAATAAATTTAGAACGAAAGAATCTCTTGATCAGCAAGATTTCCAAGGAAACAATACAAGATAACTTGAAAGACTATTCCAAACAAGGATGAAATAATTGGAAATGAAAAATCCAACGAGTTTTGAATACCTTGCCATCGTTAACCCTTCCATCATTAAATGAATTCTCCAAGGCGTTAACACCAATTGTAGCCGTAGGCCTCTCTCCTAGATATCTTTTCCTAGAATTTGTTGACTTCATCCTATGCTGTGCTTACCCTATGAATTGTTTTCTTTGATCGAGGGTAAATTGATTGATTTTATCAGCCATCTTTCACTATGGTTTGAAGGGTTTCAAGATTTAGCTTTGGAGCATTGATGATTGTGTGAAAAAAATGAACTGATCATCTTCAATAATTAGGAAGCCAGTGTAATTTCCTTATACCGTCAATTTTGAAAAGATTATGCAGATTTTATATGAACTTTCTAATTATATGGACGACTAGTGGTGTTTTGAGTTAATGCACTATAGAATGTATCATTGATTGCCATAACTGTGAATTTTGTTATTATTTTACTTGTTAATATGTCTAAGTTTCAAGTTAGGTTTTTGAGGTTATGATATCCTTTATTCAATATGATTCTTATAAAAGAAAGGCCAAAAGTTTACAACCAATAAATTTGAATTTGACAGGCATAAACGTGTAGAAATTGGCAAAAAAATCATGCCTTGTTTGCATTAATAGTTAATGGTAATGTTTTTGAGATCCTCGGTTAAGGAGGCATGATTTTCATATGCCTAGCCTTGTTCCAATAGGCAATCCAAAAAATATAGTAAATCCTGCTATCAACCATGAGGCTTTAAAGAAAACAGCAATAGGCCTCTAAATAGTATTCCCATTTAATAACCTAAGGACAATCTAGAGGTTTATTGAGATTAACTCATTGGTGAATCAAAAACAATTCGTATTGAAATCTCAGTGAAAAAAATTTACAACATTTGCTAATAGCTAAAAGTCTTCTACAACGATGTCACTAAGGACAACAGATTGTATTTAATAGCTTGTAGAAGGAAAGGATAATGCTGTGGATAAAGATGAATTCCGCATAAGTGGACGACTTAATTAGTGATGCCGAATTTATAGTTAGACATTTTAACCTGTAAAAGCTTCCTTTCTGAAGAGGTGATTTCTAATCCAATAGTTCAAGCTTTATTAATGGAAGTGGCGAATTCATTAATTGCCAAATTTAAGAATGCATCAGCAACAAGTACTTGTGCTGAATTAACTTACTTGTAACATAAACTACATGTAATGCACCATTAATATTTTAAATAATTAATTATGTGACTTGTCATTTCAGAATCTCATGTAATCAAATTAAATTTAATGATTTCAATTTGATGAATGATGGCACAACTGTTCAAACTTCATTTTCCTCTTCTATAAATAATTTTAAATCAATTTATTTCAAACTTTCTCTTTTCTCTCTTAAATTCCCTCTAAAATTTTAAGAATTTAAAATATGTCGAAGGCGAGGGTATGCATTGCAAGGCTAAAACCACATACAAAAATACACGTGCCGCATAAATAATATAAGATAGTAAAGTATTATTCCCACGAGGATCTCAATTGAAATTTTTTATAAGTTAATTACTAGTTTAGTATTACCCAAATTTTTGTTTAATGATTTCAACATATTATAAAACTACAATCTAAATACTTGATTAAATTAGATTTAAGAATATGAGAGAGAAAAACTTGGATTTATAATTCATCATACTAATTTCTATCTCTCTTAAATTTCCTCTAAAATTTTAAGAATTTAGAATATGTCAAAGGTCAGGGTATGCATTGCCCGGCTAAAACGATATACAAAAATACACGTGCCGCACAAATAATATAAGATAGTAAAATATTATTACTGCGAGGATCTCAATTAAAAATTTTTATAAGTTAATTACTAATTTAGTATTACCCAAAAACTTGTTTAATGATTTCAAGATATTATAAAACTACAATCTAAGTACTTGATTAAATTAGACTTAAAAATATGAGAGAGAAAACTTTGGATTTATAATTCATCTATACTAATTTCTAGCAATTGTTAAATTATATTTCTAGATCATTTTAATCGTAAATCAAGAGCATATCTATCTTCTAATCTATGACAAAAATTAGAAAGCATAATCAGTCTCTCTAAATTAGATATATATATATATATATAGATAATTTTCCCTAACTATTCTTCCATGAACCTATCAATATCAATGAATCACACTAAATTCAAAATTTGTATACTACCAGTACATAATGAAATTTGGAGAGAAACTAACAACCATAAAACAGTTAACATAATCAAATTAAGTTTCCACAAGAACAGTAAGGATTAATCATAAATGTAAATTTTTATGACTTAATTCATATTTCTGAAAAATAAAGCACAAATAGAAAGAGTGAACATTTCAGATTTACTAAAAAGATACAAAATGTTGGAGAAAATAAACCCGAAAAGAAGAAGTTCGTAACTTTTGATTTCTTCTCCTCTTCATCCTCCTTAGTTTTTCACAAGTGCTCTCTTTCCAGCACCCCTACTTAAGTCACTCTCACACTCGCTAGTACACTAGAACACTTTCTTAATCTCTCCCCTCCCAAAATGTGACTCCATATCATAATTCCTGCTAGTCATTCTATAGCTTCCTCAACCAGCTCAGCAACTGCTTTAGAATTGAATCTTTCAAGTCGTCGCACCATAGCATTGCCTCATGTGGCAGCAAGGCAATGCATGTAGCGTTGCAACTCTAGGCTTTAGCATCGAGGCATTGAATTCTCTATGATTTAAGCTGATTTTTGCTCCTTATGGAGCTAAAGTGCTTCAAAAAATGTCATGGCTTGAAATTCATTTTTGCTTTTTTTTTTTTTTGGGCATTACTGAACCGTAAACTAGCTTGATGGCGTTGAGCTATCAGGTTTTTGAGCAATTTGTTCAAATGTCTAGAACCATAGTATTGATTAAATAGCGCCTGGACAACATCTTCATCTTTAGCTCCACAATGCCAGTTGATCAGCGCCCAAGCATACCCTTTATTTCTTTGGCTATTATCAATTATGAACAATATCACCTTGCTGCTTGATAGAACACTTAGGCACGATTTATATTCTTTAATTTTTACACATTTCTTCTCCTGTGAAATTCCTACCAAAAATGTCATAAATAGTGATAATAAATCATAAAATGATATATTTTTGCTTAAAAATTATATTTATTTCATTCAATTCAGTCAGCCGCATTCAGTCACCTTCGATGAATCAATTTATAAATTGGTCATACTGATTGCATCTAAAATTTGAAATCCAAAAACCAGACCAAAAAATCTATTGATAAAATTGAACTAACCGAACCAAAGTGTAATTTGATTTAAACGGGGCTTTAAAATTCTAGTTGTGAAATAGAAGTGCATTATGTCATTATTTCAAGAGTTGAGCTTGTAACTTTTTTTCATATATATTTTTGTTGTTTTGACTCTAAAATGCAATTCCAAAGGAGCATAGAACAATGATGAGGACAAACCAAGAGATTAAGCAAATATTTCATATGAACTTTTGAGTAGACACATGATCGAGCTATGTTAAAATAATCACAAAATCTAAATAAACCAAAAGATTGTCATAAAGTGCCTTGGCCAATTAGAGACAACCAAAAGGTCATGGGGGTCTTTTATAGGCCAATGGTGATCCACAGCTTAACTGGCAGCAAGGAGACATGGGTTGAACTCGTGAGAATGTTCTCCACCATACACGAAGAGTTGGGGGAGGTGGAGATGATCGTGAGGATCAACCCTGGGTGAGAAGGGGCTCAACTTGATTTGGTCTATGGCGACTATCTTTGTTAAAAACCTTTGTAACATAAATGAACTATTGTTGATTAGCCAATTAGTTAAAAATACCTAGCCGTGTCAAAGAAGAAGGAAGAGACCAATGTTAAGTCATCAATAACCATCTAAGACAGCTGAGTAAAAAAATAAGGGTAGCACCGGAAGCAAAATGTGTATTTTGAATGACCAATGGGCGAGATTCATGAGAATCTCTCATCCTCATGTTGATCTCGCTTCCTCATTTATGCCCTCGAACACGAACGAACAAATTGTTTTTGTGTTCGGCCTGTTTGTGTTTGGCTCGTTTACTTAACGAATAAACAGAACACGAGCTACTTAACGAGCCGAATACGAGTTTTTCGTGAACAACGAGCTTTTTCGATAGCCCTAATCTCAGCAACTTAACTTAATTATATGATTCTCTTTTAAATGTCAACATTCTGCACCATAGAGCATTGCAAGTCTCACCACCATCTTAAAAAATTTTCCTTTCAGTCTAAGCGGTGCATTTTTATCACACAATAGGCCCGTAGCATTCCTCCACTTCAACCAACCTACTTGAATTCTACTAATAGCATCCCCATCTATGTCACCATCACTTTGAACAATAGACCCGAGATATCTACATCGTTCACACCTTTTAATAATTTGATCACCTATAGTTACAAGTTCGTCGCTAGAGCTACTAGTACTAAAATTTCATTCCATGTATTTAATTTTAGTTCTACTCAAATGAAGGCTTTTAGACTCCAATTTAGACTTCCATAATTCAAGTTTTCCTAAGCTCTTTCTCTAGTCTTATCCACACGAAGGATAAAAAACGAAAAGCATACACTAAGGTACATCCTCCTTTAAATGTCCAATAAGAGCATCCATAAGTCTTAGATGTAATCCAACTGAAATAGGCAAATATTTGGTCAATCCTCCTATTCAAACACAAGTAACAGTTCTAGTATACATATCTTTAATGACTTGAAGTTAAGTCATATCAACACATTTCTTTTCTATAACTCTCCAAAGAATATCTTTTGGAACCTTATCGTAAGCTTTTTTCTAAATCAATAAAAATCATATGTAGATCCTCCTTATTCTCTCTGCATTTTTCCATCAAACCTTTCAATAAATGAATAGCTTCTATAGTAGACCTGTTCGATATCCAAATAGATTATTAGAAATCATTGTAATAAGTCTTAACCTATGTTCAATTACCCTCTCTTATAATTTTAAAGTATGACACATCAATTTAATTCCTTTAAAATTTGCACACTCCTGTGCATTCCTTTATTCTTAAAAATGGGGACCAAAATATTATTTTTTCCACTCTTCTAATATCTTTTTAGTTTTTAAAATAATATTAAAGAGTTTAGTAAGCCAAGAAACACCCAAATCTCCTTCATAGGTTCAAACTTCAATTGGGATATCATCAGATCCTACAGATTTTCCACCGTTGATTTTCTTTAAAGTCTCCTCAACTTCTTCTTTTACTAATACGATGGTAAAAATGAAACATTTTATTATTATTAACGATACTAAAATCACTAAGATCGATTTTATTTTCAGAAACTTCATTGAAAAGTTTATCAAAAAGCTCACCCATGTATATTGAATATTTTATTCTAAGAGCTGAATATTTTTTTTTAAGAAAAACACTTTTAATTTTTATTTTTAATACACTTGAGTTAAAACTTTGTTTTACTTTTCTCTTTGTTTGACTAGTTTATACATATATTTTTCACCGACGTAGTATTTAATCTATTATAAAAATCATTAAAAGCCAAATTTTTAGCATCAAAGTTTGTTCTCTTAGACTCCCAACGGGTTATTTTATATTTTTTCCAGTTCTCTAAGTTTTTACATTTAAGCTAATTTTTATAATATAATTTCTTATATTTTATCTTTTCTTGCACAATACTATTCCACCATCAACTATTTCTATTTATAAAAAAATTTCTTTTTGATTCTGTAAGAAAATCTTTTGTCACTTGTTTAATAGTGTTTGTTAGTTTATCTCACATAGAATTTGTTTCTTCATTTTGTTTCTTCATAAACATCCCAAATTTTGAAATATTGAAGTTTACTCATAAAAATAATATTATTTGTGTGTCTTTTAGGTGTCATTATATAATTTAATGACCCTAACCTTCTTTATTTTAAAATTTTCATCTTAAAATCAATAATTAATAATCTTTGTCAGACATTTAAATTCTCATTTGGAATGACTTTACAATCTTTAAATTCTTGACAATCTCTTCTTCTCATAAGAAAATAATCAATTTGTATTTTATTAGATCCATTTTTATAATTAATAATATGTTCAACTCTCTTTTTTAATAGAATATTAACAATAACAAATCATGCGCTACAGCAAAATCTAATATTATTATAATTGGAGTTAATTTTGTAACCCGTAATGGATTGGTTGCTTCAAGCATATAGATTAATATAATTTATCTGGTTAAATAAACAACAAAACTAAACCAACAATAAATAACCAAGGTTTGAAAACAAAATCTTTTTTTTTAAATCAAAATGAATCAACCAAATGAGCTCATTTCGATTTAATTTTTTTATTTTAACCAAATAATGCACAGGCATTCCTTATTTACACAAATAATTTTGTATCATTAAATTGGGAATGCACTTCACTGTTCTCTTAAAACAATATCAAATCGCTAATAAAGAAATGTGAGATCGATAAAGGTTTCGGTGTGTGAATTCCAAAAGCCAATGAGTTTTCTAATACATTGAGTGAGAATGCATTATACTTTTACAAAGACCCATTTCACCCTGGGCAACAACTTCCCATTTTTTTCCTAAAATAGAATCAATTATTCGATGCTATGGCATAGTATCTACAAAAATAATAACCAATTTGCTAGTGCAGATACCTTCATCATTTATCTATGGGAACATCAAATAAAGTACTATAAATCTCTTTTACTTAATGTTCATTACAAAAGCTTCCAAGAATGGTTCAATTCTTGTCACGTAAATGCACAAAAATTAGATGCTTAAAAAATTAAGATATTGGAAAAAAATACATTTTTCTTTGTGAAGTCATAAATGGATGGCCTGTTAGGCCTGCTTCCCTCCTTTAAATTGGCAACTCCAAAACTTTTAAAGGAGAAGGCTGACTTTATAGAAACTTACAAGGAAAAAAAAAAATTGTGTTCGATATATATCAAAGGTATCCTTTTTACCCCACTTAAGAAAACTAACAGCTATAGAATCTATTGAAATTTTGATCTTCTCCTTAGAAATGATTGTCTTGGAACTAGAGTTTCCATGCCCGAGAAAAAAGAAGAATTTGGCTAGTGAACTTTAAATATATGTAACATATTATCCCAATTTATAGATTGTTGACAATATCAACGACGGCAAAATGACAAATTAATGTCGAAATCAATGCTCAATACTAACAGTATAATTAAACTTGCTGATAATTTTTCTTGTGCACTCTAGAACGTTTATGTGTGTGTGTGTGTTTGTAATTTTTTACTAACTAATTTTTCAAAGTTGGAGTGAATAATAAACTTTGCAAGCTGTGGTAAATTTCTCTTCAGAGAATTGAAGAGCAAAGCAATGATATTGGTATGTAAGAGAAAATATTATAATAATAATTATTATTTTCTTAATCTTCTTGCAATTACACTCCAAGGATATAAGAAAATTGAAGAAGTAAATATACAACTAAATATAAATTCAAAAACATGAACTAAGACACTTGGAACTCCTCATGACCAATATGAATTTGCCTAAAACAAAATGAATTCTTTCCAGCCAGTATGAACTCGAGTAGGCTAACATGAATTTGTTGCAATAGTGAAATTGTTGAATTCGAGATGAATTCGCCATAGTGTAAGAATTTATTCATCAAAGTCCAAGCATGCTCGTCCAAGATTAGGTCACTCAAATTCATAAACTACTCGCTAAGTCATCAATTTAATAAAAAAGATCAACAATTTCTTCTGTATAAATCTGCTACAAGTCAAAGTACTAAAATCTAGTGCAATCAAACTACATGCTTCATATATTTTACAATAAGTGAAAAATGAGCCTTGTTATGCACTTTTTTATGTGTAACTCAATATATAGATTATCTTATAACACTCAGACCCCGCTCCAAAACTATAAATAGGGGGACCATGGGGAGAGTCGAGGTTATGAATTATAAAATTTTTAGTACTTGAACCAATTGTATTAAAATATGAGAGTTTCATAATCTTAATCTTCTCATTTCTCTTATTTTTTTCCTTGTCTTTTCAATCCAAGTGCTAGTAAATTTTTTTCTATGATCTATAAACAATTTTGAATCCAACATCCTTAATAACAAAAAAAAATTATTAAAACTCAATAGAAATTGCAAACATTGCATGAGAATATGGTAAAAGGTTTTGATGGGCAATGATAAGAAATTAACCAAAGGATGGTAGATAAAAGGACAAGGGGCAAGGGTGAATAATAGTGTTTGCAAAGGGGAAGCGAGGACAATATTGGAATTATGGGTTAAGTGAAGGCTTGTTTTCATTATTAAGTTGAAATCATTATTTAAGCGACTATTTAATTGTTAGTTATAGCCAAAATTTAGCTACGATTTAGGGTATCTCTTATCAAATAGTTTTTTTAGCACATAAATTCCTCTATGTTCTTAAATCCCATTTTCTCTCATTTCAAAGTAGTTTCGCATTAAGTAAATAGATCCCTAGCCAAGTAGGATTTAAGACTTTTATATCACTTCTCCTCACCTTGACTTTTCTTCTACTTCATATAGGTCCTAAATCTAAAAATTGTGTGTCAAACAGTTTATTAGGAATTAATGAGATCTAACATCTATCATCTCAAACAGTTTTCAGGAAATAATGCCTCTGGGATTTACTGATTCCGGATTTACAAGATTCTGCATGAATAAAATCCTAGTTGTACCAAAACAGTCATTCAAATAATCATCATAATATTTCTTTTACATTAACATAAAGTAATAAAAATTGGTATACCTACAAGTGTTAATCGAACATTTTGATATACCAACGACTTTGATAAACCAGGATTAAATTTAAACATCAATAAATGCATATGCCTAAAGCGGCAATACATCGAATCCCATCAGATGCATGTAAATAATTTCATTCTACGATCACAAAAAACAAAGCAAAAGTGGTCTCCATCCAAAAAGACAATTTTATTAAACGACTCCCATCCGTACACAAAATACAAACTTCTACAATAATTCATACCATTGGTGATTATGGCACTGGTCTGCGGAGGTACTTTGAACTCCTCGGCGGCGAATTTCAGCACGGCCGTAAAGGGAGCCGCCTCTGGCACGCTAAATCTGAATTGGAGCAATAACAGTATTAAAACAAAACGGGAGAAACGAAACCCTAGCTAATCAACAAAAAAGTTAAAGCTTGGACTGGAACCAAACAAAAAACAAACAAAAAAAAAAAAAAATCGTTTACACTTTGAAGGGAAGCTTGGGATCCGACGTCAGGATGACCTTGAAAGACACCTTGCCGCCGGTTGTTGACGAAGCCATCGCCGCTGACGATGAAAAGAAACGAAAGAAAAACCACCGGAGACGGAAGAAACCTGAAACTGAAATGAAGGCATCTTTGTGTTCAATCACGTGCATCGCACGTGGACCCAACAATATTTTAAATTAACTAGTATTGAAATAATATTGTAACATTCATAATCTCTCTTAAAAGAAAATTTTCTATGTTATCTTGAAATATACATAAATTTTATGATTGTTGAAATGTGGGGTTAAAGTTCCTTTTCTTGCAAAAATAATAATTTATAATTAGGATAATCTAATTGAGGCTGAATTTAGTTTAGGCAATTATTTCACATCTCATTACATGGAGAAATTATTACAAGTGACGATTGCACGTCCGAACAAGGGTTTGAATGGGCCACCATGCAATCCACAATGTCATTGCTGCATCTGAACCATCGTCCGGGCGTGTCCAGGCGTACGATTCCCATCATATGAATAATAATAACATAAAATAATCAAATTTAGTGTTAAAAATTAAATAATATGATTTCACAAACTGTAAATACAACTAATTAAACGTCACTTTTACTCCATTTGTAGTGAATTCTTCATATATTAGTAGTGGTCATATTTGGTAAGCATTTTTAATAGTCTAGCTGAAAATTATATAAAAAAAATTATCTCAGATTAATACAAATACCATACATGTGCTCAGATCATCATTTTTATCTCATGCAAGTGCGCAACCAAAACAAAAAACAAAAAACACTTGCATGCATATCAATGGCCATAAAAAAAAAGTGCAGTGATCTTAAAGCGATCCAGCTAGCCTACTGTTACAAGATCGTGGGCTCACTTGATCTACCGAGTGAAGCCATTCGAACCAAGCTGACAAAGCTGAAACCAACAAAACCACGAGGCAGATAAAAAGATAATCAGATGATCCAAACACATGTCATTTAACTGTAAAAGAGACAAAAAAAAAAAAAAAAACATCTGATTCAACCACTAAAAAGAGAATCGACCCAACACAATAGCCTAACCTCCAATAAGGTCTATGTTTTGGTGTCTTCTTGCTCAATCCAAAATGATATGAGCTTCTTAGGGTTCACATTTACTCCATCTTCATATATTAGTAGGGGTCTTACTTTGTAAGCATTTTAATAGTTTAGATGCAAATTATATAAAATAATTTATGTGAAATTTATTTAATACAAATACAAAATTATAGAATCATCATTTTCTATCTCATGGAGTGCACAAATGGTAAAAAAGAGAGAAGGAGAGAAAAAGAAAGATTTGCATGCATACCACATAAGTTAATATATTTAGATATCAAATAACAAAATTATAATATCTACTCGCGTAGCAATTAAATCTTTAAATTACCTAAAAAATAATCAGTAAAATCAATATATTGTGTGGTTCATTTTCATGTTTATATTTAGGGGTGTAAACGAGCGGAACAAGAGCTGAGCCAGCTCGTGCTCGGCTAATTTGCTTAACGAGCCGAACACGAGTTGTTCACGAACAAAGAATCATTTTGACAACCCTAGTTACGTAGCCATAAGATGTTAAGGGTTAGAGCAAGATTTAAACATTATTATTTATATTAAAACAACCGAACTCGAGCGAACACATCTTTGTTCGTGTTCGTCTCGTTAACTTATGGAACGAAGCTAACGAGCCAAACATAAGCTTCTAAGGAGTCGAACATGAGTTGTCCGGGAACAACAAGCTGTTTTGACAGCCCTATTTATATTTGTTTTGATTATGATACTAAAATATTAGATAAATAATTATCAAAATTTAGGCGTTAATTACATATATATATATATATATATATATATCACTCACACACACACACACACACACACACACACAAGAGAATCTCACGCTTCTAAAATAAATAAACATAAATTTTAAATAATCCATCATATATTATACTCTTTAAATTAAATAAAAATACATAAAACAAAACTTCTCCAATGTTATACATATCATACGAAGCCTACAGACATAGAACAAACAGATACAAGAAGACGATCGAGCCAGCAGAAATTTCAGACAAGATTCGGCTCTCGAATCTCAATTCTCGAAACCCCTTGTCTGCCCTCAGCCACCTTAGCCACCTCCACTTCCCCAACCACCATCTCTTTCTCCTCCTCTTCCTCTTCCTCCATATAATAGGGTTCCCTCTCCTCCAAATCCACCAACTCAGCCTCGCCGTCGGGACCCTCCCAAGTGAACCGGCCGCCGTGGCCCGCCTTGGGTAAACCGCGGCCGATCCCGATGCCGTCGCCGGAACGGCGCTCCATTCGGTGAACGCCTTTGTCGACCAATTTCTTCTCTATGTGGCGAATGGTGTGGGGATGGCGAGCCTTCTTCGGCAATTCTTCTTCTAACAGTTTCTTCGTCTCTTCGTCTAGCTTTACAGGCTTCAGAGCCATTGGGTACAATGATGAGCAAGGATGGAGGTCGGCCTCTTTTATAAGAGAGGTATGTATGCAATTTTTTCTATTATTAATTTGGTTTTTATAATATGAAGAAGGTTATTCCAGAATTCTGAAAAGGAAGTGTGTAGAACTTGTGCACTGTAAGAGCATCTGGCTTCCAGAAGCTGGCGGAATCATGGCAATGGAAGGCTGTGGAACCTCCTTCTTGGTTCTTTTTCACTAGTGCTGCGGTGAAATTATTGGGATGGGAATATAAATATGTAGAAAGTATTGGCATAATATCAAAAATAAGGGCTGTTTATACACATAGCACCCAAAACATTTGAATTTATAAATCAAGTTGTGTCTTTAATCCATTTTTTAAGTTTTAAATATGTTTATAAACTAAAACTATATTAAATGTTTAAGGGGCTATTTTGTTTGCAAAGTAAGGTATTAGAAATGAAATACTGAAATTGTTTGGTTCTGGTGAAAAAAAAAATGCATTTTTTAAATATTTTTTTATTTATTTTGAAGAAAAATGAATTCGATATAAAATACATTCAGTATGGAAAAATGAGATTAATTTCAAGCAGCACACATTCAAATAGAGACAATATGAACGTTTCTCATAATAAAATGTAATAAAATAATAATCTTAAGAATTTGCAAATATTCATAAATAACAGTACCAAAAATTAAAACAAAACATTAATCTAAGAACAATGAACAAAGACAAAGTACTCTGAAGGTTTCTGTAGTAGAAAGAGACCAGCTTAGAACTTGCTACAACAACGCTAGAACACATGTAACATTTGTTTTGATTTTTTTAGTATGTCATGGCTCTTTTTTTGTATTTCTGGATTTAGAATTAGTAGTTAAATTTGACTCCTCTAGTCTTGGAAATTTCAAGCTCCAGACTCGGTCATGAAATAGATGTCCTACTCGCGTTGTAAGCATATGTTAATGTCTGGAGATGACTTTTGCTCCGATGAGGGATGAAAGCCTTGCCAATGAACCGACCGGAAAGATGGCGTCGGATTTAGATCAGTGATGTTGATGACATTGTTCGGCATATCGCCGCTCGTCGGTGGCCCTTGAATTGTTAACTTTGAGTCCTCACATTCTTCAGTTGCATCTGACAGTGGCGTTGCACCTGCGGCGGCGCAGGAAGCAGGTAGCATGGGAAGGAATGGCGAGGAATCCTGGTTGAGCTTTCGTTTATGCTCCTTGAAAGCATTCGGCAAGAAGCTTCCCACCACAACCTGTTGAAGCAGCAAGAGTTGAGACCAGTGCACCAATGCCAAAAATCCTTTATAAAATAATGGTTATAATTCAAAGTAGACATGAGTATTCCTTATCACTCTCTCTTCTTTAAGCCAGCTTCATCCTGATATAATAATAAACTCCCTTAAGTGTGCCCCTAAGGTTTAGTCTAGTGCACCAATGCCAAAAATCCTTAAGAATTACCTCTAATAACATGGTTGTATTCAAATGGTGTTCAGGGAAGCTAGCCTAGCCTCCAAGGGATCACCAATCAATCCATGCTAATGCCAACATCCTTAAGATAAAAGTTACAAACATTTTCAACACAACTTTGGGGCGTTACCATTGATCTCTACTACCACCTAACATTCTAAATTAATTAGGCCTACCATAAAACCACCAACCTTAATGTCTTGGTGTTTGGGCTGCCATCCTCTCATCAAACAATGAGGAAATGGTGACCACCATGAAAGTTAATCAAAATGTCACCTTCTCAGAGAAGAATACAGAATTAAGTGTTAGTTATGGAGTCTTAATGTAGCCCCCACGAGCAGCAGGCTGGCTGGCTTCCAAATTACCGGGATTAAAAGAACTGCTTAGGCTATATTAGGTAACAAAGGATTAAGATGATTCTCCATGAAACAACTGCAATTGTGCCATCTCAACGCTAGTAACATATATATATATAAGGCAAAGTATATACCCTGGTACCTATGACCAAATAGAGTGGATCACACGATACCTGCGCATAAACTGACATGAAAGTATATCTGCTCAAAAGTAAAGGGTGGATATAATTCTTGGTCTTTATGGAAGTACTAAGAAGACGTTGCTGCACATCAATTGTCGAGGCAAATGGTGATTTCCTCGACCACGATGCACAGAAATGGCCGATAAGTAGTCATCATGGAGATTTATGGGCATTGGAAAGAATGTCAAAAGTTATTGAGCTTCCTATGTCATTCATTGATTTGTTGATCCATGCTATTTATCACTGGGTACCCAATCACTCCACCAAGCAGTACTTCTAAGTCTGCTTAATAAGTTTCAAACAATCCTCTAATGTTAACTACCTCATCCCCAATTTTAACTTTCAATAGATGTCTTGCTCTTAACCCTTTGATCCAGCTAGTGGAACCAAAACCTCCAAAGTCTCTTTTGGTTGTAATGCTCTATGATGGACATGAGAGCTCATCTAGAAAAGCTTCAGGTATCTCAAAATTGAGGCAAGATCTTTGGCCAACACACATAAAAATACAATTCTCACAACATTAACAATTGACTATGATGATTTGAAACTGCTATTTAAAATATGTTGCTCCTAAATAAATATATCAGTCATATAATTCACTTTTTGATGGAAAGACCTATAAAATCATTGCTATTTTTTATCTTCCTTTTAATGGTCCATTTACATCATCAAGCCACTTTTGAGAACATAATATCAAAAGTTTATTGGAAGCCTCAAACTATCCTAATCAACTTCAAAAACTAATTTTTAACCAACTTACAAAAAGCTAAATCATCTCAAGCCAACAACCACGTTTATCAAATTAAAAACAATATATAATGCAGATCCAAAAAAATTTAATTTATGACTTGAATTCGAGTGAAACAAATACCAAATTACGCGTAAGTATCTAAAACGATAAACCATCACTATTATCATTCACCTTATCTTAGGTACTGGTCCATAAGGCTATGCCTACAAAAGCTAAGCAATTATCTTAGCTTATTAATAGCTTGATAATTAATTGATTTTGACCTATTAATAATTAGCTCATAATTAATTAAACTAATTTAATAAAAAAATTCATTAAAAGTAAATCAATATGCTTTCTGCAGTACCTGAATAGGACTGGCGGCAAGTAATAACCCTGCGACACCTCCTCCAACTACACGGCCGTCTGGTCCTGCAAGTGAAACGCTTATTCCACCTGTTCTACTTCTTACGCCATCAGATTCAATAATTGTAAACGATCCAGAGAGTGATAATATCTCAAACCGTCCCTGCAATACACTGATTACATAAATAAAACAATAACATACAACATCCACGCACATTAAAAGTATGCCCCGCCGCCTATTTGAATCTCAAAGAGACAGGCAGCAATTAAGCAAATTCAAAAAATAATAATAATGATAATAAAGGTGACAATGCAAATAATTATTGTAGCATGGCTGAAGTTTAGTTTAACTCAACTCATTCTAGTGATTCTAAAGAAATTCATAACTATCTATAGCTTGCTCAAAGTCCATAAAATACTACCTAAATTTTACAACAAGGACTTCAATACAAGCAATAAATCTCTTCTGGAAAGCACAATTCAAATAAACTTCCATGCCATCAACATTGAACTTAAACCGGCTATTTAGGACCGGCTTTATGCATCGTCATATTCCAAACATTCCAGCTTAGTTTTATTGGAGATATTAATATATTTTGCATAGAACTTTTTGCACTTTCATCTAATGTTATCTTAGATGTACTCATTTTTCTGCTTAATTCGTCGACGTTAATCTTATTTACGTCTTATGAGTGCTTGCAGCAAGAGTTGTATCTGTGTGTGTGTGTGTGTGTGTGTGTGTGTGTGTGTGTGACCTGTGTGTACATTTATGTCATTTGCATATATCCAAATTGTCTAAAACCAATTTTTCCAAACACACATAAAAAAAAAAAAATCTACTTTGAACATATATCCAATATCAATATTTCTTGATTGAACCTTTCTAATTCTATTCCAAATTCATATTAATATTTTTAATATTATCATAATCAATTTTAATATTAGTGACCTTGCGATGATCCAACATTTTTGGATAATCAAATTTTAACAAACGCTTCATGTTTCAATAGCACAAACATAAAACTTTTAGGTAAAAGAAATCATTACAATTATATCTTAAATGGAAAGGCAATAATGCAAGCATAACGTAAATATAAAAATAAAGAATTGCAAAATCTTAACATATTTATAGATTTATATGTATAAAGAATTGCAAATCTTAACATATTTATAGATTATATGTGGATTTAAGTTTCCAAGTTACACTTTTGGCCATTTAAAAAAAAAAGTTATACTTTTTGCTAAAATATAATGCAAATGCTCGGCAAAAATATTCACCCACAAATCTTTTATATAGTAAACATCTCATCAACCAATTCATCAAGTATAAAAAAATCAAGCACCAAGTGTGCATGCAATTTTTTAACATACATAGATTTCTATGGAATAAAGATGTCATTTTCAATAAAACTATATCATTCTTGATTTGATTTATTTTTTACAAATAATTGATTAAGCGTTTAGTTTAATAGTAATAGAAAGAGAGCTAAAAACATTTGATAATATAAAAATATAAATAATATTTTCAAAGTAAATTAATTATCATTTATATAATTAAAAGTTATTTAAAAATATCAGAATACTATTAAAAATATATAGAAAAATATTAATAAAATATGTAAATAAATTTTAAGTAAAATATCAAAGCATTAAAAAAAGATAAAATGACTAAAGTGACCCCACTATTTGTGAAACCAAATGTCTGATTTAATCTCTAGAGTCTTAAAATAAAAATCAAAACTATTCGGTCATTAAAAGTAAAGACAATTAATGTTAAAGCTAATAAATGGGAAAATATGAGTATTTTAGGATGTTACATTTTAAAATTTTCACAAAATCTAATTTCCTATTTTTTTATTTAGGATATCATCTATCAATATTATAATATTTTTTTTAATTTTCAAAAGCACAATGATGAAATTAATATTGATAAATTCTTTACAAAATATCACAAACTTAAAATCACATATGAAGGTTCATAAAAATTTGAATATTTAAATTATTAAAATATTCTCATTTGTTTCACCAAGTGATAACTATAACCTTAATTTCAATTCTTTCTAATAGTGGAATCATGTTGGCTCCTATTTTAAGAGTTTAGAAACTAAGTTGAACATTTTATATAGTCTATGAAAAAAATGCCTCTCCCCAAATAGTGGGAGAATATTTTGACATTCTTTTGATCCTTTTCTTAAACCCAAACATTTCATCAAAAAATTTGTATATGGCCAATATAGTCACAAAGTATCACGCTTCTCTACTCCATTCCCAAAACTAGACAAAATTTACCTAAAATGATCCCCATTAAGGAAATTTTAATATAGAATATACTTGATTTAATCCCTCAACCATACAAAATTGAACCCTATGAATTCTTCGATCAATTTTGAATAGTCATAATACTAAATTAAAGAAATGATATACTTTAGGACTGCATTTATCACATATGAATTGTTGAGAAACTATAATTGGAATTAATCCCATCAAGAAGTATAAAACCCCAAAAAATTAGCAAATTTAAGAAAATATTATATATTTTCTTTAGTTGTTAAATAAAGCAATATTTTTTATAAAGAGTTCTAAAATTTAAATAAAGTCAAAATATAAATAGTTTGGAAATTAATGCTTATTATTATGTGTTGAATTTTTTATCCAATAATAGTCAATAATTTAAGGCAAACATATCAAGGTTTTATACAATTGGATCTTTACTTGTGATCATCGGAAAACAAATAATTTAAGGCATACAGATTGAGACTCTATATCATTAGATCTATCTTTTTATGACTCTCGGATTGTAATCGATGTGCTTTCCTAAAGGATTGACAGTCTCTATTTATTTTTCCTTTCTTTTTAATTTTATTCATATTTTGTAATGTCTATGAGAGATCTATATATATGTCATCCCTTGTACAAAAAAAGTTGAGATTCTTGAGAAAATTTTACAATGTTTTATTATTTACTTGGTATTAACCTTTATTTTTATTTTCTAATATTGGGGCTCTCAATTCTAAGCTTATTCCTCTTGGTGAGTTCTCATTCTATTCATTTTGTGTGCATTCTTTAACATCTCTTCAAAGAAATCAATCGTGATTAATGGTGAAAATCAAACCGAAAAAGAATTTAAGATCCTTCAAGCATCATATCACTTGAACGAAAAAAAAATATCTTAAGGATTTTTTAAAGGGAAAGGGAAAGACCCAACATCTTGTGAATCTACTTCTGGAGCCCAAAGGCCCAAAATTATTATTTCAGGGAGAAATTGATTCATAATCATGACATGGTTGTGGAACACCATGCTACCAAAAATCAATTGATCTTTAATATTCTCTCCAAACAAAAATATATTACGGATCTCCTTAAAGAAAACAAGATGACAAACTGCAAGTCGTGTAAAAATTTTACTAAATCATGACAAACATCAGACTTTGAAAAAAAAAACTAATGTAAATATCGGGATAATTAATATCAAAGAAAATTAATTGGCCAACATATTCACTAAAAGAATTTACAATCCAATATTTTAAAATATCATAAACAAACTTGGAATGGTAGATCTCTACCGTCCAGATTGAGGGAGAGTGTTGAATTTTTGCTTCAATTATAATAAAGAATTTAAAGCACGTGCATCAAAGCTTTATAACATTGGATATGTTTGCTTATGACCATCGGATAGCAAACAACATAAGACACACGGATTAAGGCTCTATACCGTTAGATCTGCCTCTCTATTATTCTTGGATTGTAATCTATGTGCTTTCTTAAATGGTTGATAGTCCCTATTTATTTTTCCCTTCCTTTTTAATTTTACCCCTATTTTGTAATACCTATGGGATATATATATATATATAAATATATATATATATCATCTCTTGTAAAAAGAAGAATGAAAACTATTGAAAGTTTCTTCCATTGTTTTATTTTCTACATTATGCATTTAAAATAAGCAAATTTCTAGAATACAGAAAATTCATCAAAATTTTCAAAATTAAAAATTGATCAAAATTTACTAATATTTAAAATTATAACAAAATGTGTAACTAAACAAACTCATCTCTAAGAATTCAAAAGTCTAGTCAACAATTAATTGTTTAGCATAGCCTTCCATCATATTAGGGAGAGGTAATAAACTACGTAAGAATTGTTGTCAAATAGCTCTTTATTGCTCTGCCTACCTCACTTCAAAAGGATTGGAGTAATAAAAATTATCTAAAAATCACTCTCTCCCACTCTTTAAAACCTTCTGACCCATACACCTCTTCCACGCTCTCTTTATTTCCTTTCTCCCTCCCCGTCTTACTCTCTCTTTATCACCCTATTTATTTATAATATCCCTCTAATAAAATCTAAATTAATGGTAAAACATCAATAAGACTTGATGATATTGATTTATAAATACATCTAAGAATGTCAATTTAGATTCAGAGGCCAGATTTTCAACCCAAAAATGACCCGACATAAAAATAATAAAACTAAAATCCGACCCAAAGGGATAAAAATCTCAACTTAAACCCAACTTAATCAAATGAAAACACAACATGACCTGATAAAACAAAAACAATTAAGTTGTGACGAGCTGGTATCAACCAACTCAAAATGAACATGATTATTCAATTTAGCTGAACTTTGAAAACAATAAAATAAGGAAAAAAAATTATAAGTTTTTCATGAAAAAAGAATTAAATAGTTAAATCGCTATGTTTGAATTTTTCATTAAAAAAATTTTAATAGTTAAATTACTATTTTTGGGTTGACTCACACCTGACTTTTATAAACGAAAACTTAACCTAACTTTTTTTGAGTCGCATAAGCTAAAACAAATCAAACCTGAATATTAAACAGACATACATCAGGTTTGAGTCAGGTTTCTCCCCATTGCATCCAATATTGACGCCTAAACAACACCCACCATGTAGACACCTACATCAAGGGCAATTCAATACACATAATCAACAATTTTATGTTTGTGTATTTGTGTACCTTTATAAATTTTATGGAAGTTATATTGCATTGTGTTTGAATACATTTGTCTTCATCTTATTTGTTTTGAAGTAACTAGTCATTTTTGTATGCTAAATGCTGTAATAACTTATGATCCATATAGCAAAAACAATAACAACAACAAAACCTTTCTCTCACTAAGTGGGGTCGGCCACATGCTTAACATAAGTCGAATCTAAAACATCTACTCTTCTAATCGAATCATCAGATGGTCAATGTAAAATTATTAAATTTATGCATAATACTTGAACATTTTCACTCTCAGATTTTCAACCATCACTTAAGCCCTTAAAAGTTGGTGGCCCTTCTCTCTCCATCCCCCTTTGGAGATCATTCTTCACCTTTCTCTTGGAGGGACCTATCATCACCCTTTTCTAGGCACATATTTTCTTTTCTACTCTTCTTCGTTAATCTCTATGAAGAGATTTACTAAAATCATATATCTTTTCAATAGCTCTGCAATGAGAATTTTTTAGAGTATTTTGGTATAATTTTATTAGTTTTACTACATTCTAATGACATTAGGGCACTTAGATAAATATCACACAATTCTTATGTATTTACATATCTAACACCTAAACTTTGATTTTTATATTAATAACACTTAAATCTTTCATATCATATCAAAAATATCATTATCACTAACTTTTAAAAGGGAAATACACATTTTTGTGCATAGATAGAGTGGTGCAGTTGTAAAAATTAAAGTTTAAGTGTTAGATATGTAAATAGATAGAAATTGTGTGGTGTGCATGTAAATCTTTCATAAAACTAAGGTTCTCATGCCGAAATTACATTTAAAACAATCAAGTCACAACAAGATCCAACAATCTTATTGCCATTGTTCGCTATGTTTCCAATTTGATTCAAGTTAATTTCAAATATAGACTTATCAAAAATTCAATTTTGAGCCAAAAAACAAAAAATTTCAAATAAAAACATTTATAACCATATGGCTCAAAGCTAATATCAAGCATAGATATAACATGGCCAAATCAAAATTGGCAATGAAGGTGGAAACATAAACTTTACTTCATCAAGAGCTGGTATTGAACACAGCACTTGTAACTACAGGAATAGCTAGCCTGATAACTCATCTAAGGCTAACAATAAAAGATAGAAGATTGCATCAAGGATTTCTAACAAGCTTAAACACAAAATTAACTTCTAAACAAAAAATTAACTTCAACTAAGGGCCTATATGGCTGCATGTTCATGATAAAACTTAGCTTATATTAGTAAAAGAATTACTTTTAACAACACAAGTTACATTTAACTAAATAATACAAGTTTATAGTAATTGAGTAAATAGATTTTGTAGTAAAATTTAAGTTATTATTAAAACCAATGGTTAAATATAATATAAAACAATATAAAATTAACAAAAATAGCCATATTTCTTCACTAGTAGCATTAATTTATTAAAGCCTAGTTAATTCATGTCAAGGAATTGTTACATAATTACAATGAAGTTGACACAAGTTTTCATCTTTACCAATTTCTCATTCTCTACTTTGTACTCTCAAGTCTTGGAAGTGCAAATTTGACAAATCATGTAGAGCAATTTAATAAAGAATTAAATATGAATTCTTTTACAAGATGTCAACTCCCAAATATTCCTCCTAAACTGTAGAGCTTTATGATTATTGTCATCAATAGTTGTAGAACTAAAGGATAACTTACAGAAAAAAGTCAACCTTCATTAAAAGACAAGCTATTCAATTTTGTTTTGTAACTTTATACTGATTTAACTAAAATTGCTTCAAAATTTATTCTTCTGTCTTATAGTAGTTAATACATCCAACATAATTATTATTATCTATTAGACTTGCTTGGTCATAAGAAGACAATGTTGAGTAGATCAAAGTCTCAAATAAATGACTCTGCATTATATCTTATTTCAGCAGCAAAATCATTGAGGATTCCATTGATGGAAAATAATAAAATGAAATTGAAAGCTAGAAAACGAGAACTAAAATAAAGAAAATAGCACAAACAAAAAATAAAATAAAATGTGAACAAAGAGAAATAAGCCAAAAAAAGTCATGCCTCATATGTCAGGGTACCCCCAGAAGAACCAGGCTGTCGTAAGGTGACATTTGAAATAGCTCCATTTGCAGAGAGAATACACACAGCTCTAGGGCCCTTCTGTGAGAAAGAAAGAATCCGAGCAGCCACATCCTAAATTAAGAACATTATATAACTTAGAAAACCAACAAAAAAAAGTCCCAATCTTTTCAAAGGAAAACAAACAGTAGTTGAAAACCAAAGGAAGTAATAAACTCAATTAAGAAATAAAATGGATTAATTAACCAATTACCTCCCCTGCTGCAATCGACACAACGTGAGGAGTGAAAGCCCCTCCTGCAGATAACTGAAACCATTCCCCTAATACAAAACAAAGAAATCAGATGTGCTTATTTCATTTCACCAAGCACAAGTAATAAGCATGAAATGACTATCTTTTATGGTAAAGTAAATTTTTTTTTATGTGGACAACGTGACAATACAGAGATATCAAAGACTGTAATGGTCAGCCACCAACTACTGACTTCAAACCTGAGAAACCAACCAAAAAAAGCATTCTTTGAAGAAAAAAACAAAATAAGGAAGGAGGCCCCAGAAAAATAAGGTCAGTCTCATGTTGCATATTGTAGCAAAACATTGACACTTCACTTCACTTCAACCAAACCGCTAATGGCAGACTCTACAGTACTTCAATCCATCAGAAACAGAAAATGCTTTTTTCAAAAGAGATAAAGGGCAACACAGACAAAAGTAAGGGGTACCAAGAGCTGCGAGGAGCTGGCATCTACCGGAGCCCCGTGGCCGCCCTCTACCCCGTTTGGCGGAGAACTCGGAGCCGGAGGAAAATGGCGAAGATGACCTCGCCGTCAGAGCAAGTTCCATGCTTTCCAGCCCCAACTTTTTGGCTCTCCCTCTCTTCTTCTTCATCAGTTCCTCCGAACCGCCGCTAAAGCTACTCCCGATGCTTCCCATTCCCAAACCCATCCCCATCCCCATCCCATCCACACGGCTAGCCGCCGCCGCAGGCGCTGCAGCAAAACCCCGCCGCTGCTTCCTCCACTTACATGTCCTATAAAGCTTCCTGCTTCACCGCCAACTCCGGCGATACCTCCGGCGTGCGGCAGCGCAGGAGGCGGCGATGGAGAAGAAACAGGAGAAGGGGTTGAAGAAGGTGTGTTCTTCACTCCACCGAACCCCTCAGACCCGAAAAACACCACACTCTCTCTACCTTCCATTCATATATACTACTTCCGAGAACAATAGTGAGCAACAAAGACAGAGAGGGAGATTATCCGACGCTCTCTCTGTATCTCTCTCACTCCTTTTCTTCTAAACAGCCAAAACCAAGTGCTTTCCAACGTTTTCTAGCCGAAAAACAAAGCAAAACACCTCTTTTTTGTTTCCCCCTCAATCTTTGCTCGCCAGGCTTTGCAACAGGAAGACAATTTTACAAAGAAAGAGCGGGTTCTTCCTTCTCTACACTTCTGCCCCCAATCTCCTGCTTCAATTACAAATGGAAAGTTTGCAGGAAAACGAAGGGTATTTTAGCGATTATAATCGGTATATACACGAAGGACAATAAAATTCATAGAAAGTTATTTCGTTGTGCAGCGAATTTAATGGAAAGATCATGGCTGGCAACGGCCAAAAAAATGGGATATTTGCCATGATGTAAAATAGTTAAATAGGAGACATTACACAAAATTTTTTTTTTTTTTAAAAAGGTCGAACAAATCATTACATAAATAACGCATTTAAAGAGGAGTGGCAGTCCTTTTGCAATTTCCGTTTTTTGAATTTAAATGAAAATTTCAAAATAGGAGCATATATGGTCCTTCTTGCATTGCTTTTCTTGGCGAGTGTGCTTTTACAAGAAAATCAAAGGAGTGAATCAATATGAAGAGAGGCTCCCATTCCAAGTTGGTCAATTTTTCAAAGGTGAAATTAATTGAGAAAATAAGAAAATCAGCAAGAGTAGAGGCGTTTTAGTAATTACAAAGAGTAGCCTTGCTGCCTTCTTTATTGATGGAGTTTTTACCTCCATATCACATAATTTTTATGTGTTTATATATTTAATACATAAAAATTATTTATGCATTTCACTCAAATATTTAATATGGCATCAAAATACAAGTGTCATTATATTTTTTTGAAGTGAGATATGCATTTTCATTCATAAATTTATGAGACAAAAAATATTATAAATCTACATAATTTTCATCACTATGACTCTAATTTTACATGATCGTGAAGGTAGTGGACCCAACATATTTTGAGATCTCCGGTCAGCAATTCGTGAATTGTGTCGTCCATAGGAATCTCGGTAGCACTAAGGTCAATGAAATGAAACTATCATATGACTATCGGGTGGAGCTCCAAGAGATGAGACTTTACACTCCGAAGTGCCGAGTATACCGCTGGAAGGGAAGAGGAAGGGGTTCAGTCACAAAGCTGGAAATACTCCCGACAAAATGACTTACACCCCCATATAGGTCGTGGAGTCTTCTAATGACATAAATGCACTAAACAACTACATAAGTAGAAATCTATGTCAGGTCAGTCGGTTGAAGAAGTATGGAAACATCTCCTCGAGACAAGTATATGATACAGTTATCTACCACAATCCTAAGTGTGCGGGCCTTATTAGCATGATTTGGAATATGTCAATGATATGCAACCCGTTTTAAACTGGTCCAAAAGCCATGCAGAAGCATCGCAGATGAAGTCCCAACATGACCACTCCCGATGCCTGACATAATTACGTTGGGCACTCTGTTTGGGCGGCGTGTGGTCACGCCAATGGACGAAATCGGGCACCTGCTATGATTTGGACGTAGTGATGCCCTTATTGTGGTGTAATTATGTCGCAGTCTCTATTTCTTCGGCATGGCCACACCACTTTTGGGCGTGGTCATGCCGAACACAATCTTTCTGTGTTCTTTGAGGAGGTTTCGACTTGGTCGCGCCACTAACTAGGCATGACAACACCTGAATTAGGCGTGGTTGTGTCGACCCCAGAAAGCTTGGGCTTCCGGAGATGCTCACCAAGGGGGTTCCAAACCTCTGAGAACCTCCGGAGGATCGAATGCGAGCAAGTAATGATCCATGGATCTCTATAGGGACCGTAAATGCGTCTCAAAAGAGTTTGAGAGGCCGAATTGTCTACGTATCGTTGAGCAGAGCGGCTCCAACATGAAAATCATCTATCCGGGCTTGGACTTAAGGTTTGAACACTGCGGGGGGTACTCTATTCGATGGTTTGCGTCATGGGAATATCGATATTAGCAGGACATTGTGTCACCAGAACGATTGTCAACCTAGAGGATACCGGAAGAAATGCCGACTTGGTCATGATCGATTTGGAGCATGACTATGATGGTGTAGAACCCAAGTATAGTGTCGTGTCACTCAATGAGGATGTCTCGTGTATGTCGCATCAAAAATAGATGCCAACAGACTATATTCAACTTCTTTGCAAGTAAGAGTAAGATTACATAGTTAGTTCAAAGGGCATCTTTTGACCATTCCTTAGTAAGCAAGGGAATGTCAGTTTCCAAGTTATAGTGAGGAATTATTTTAGTTGATACATGAGTGCATACACATAAGCAGCTTTTATAGGTTCTCACTTACAATAACGAGCCTCTTAGGCTTAGAGGGCCCATCCTCTCCAAAGCACAAATATACTCACACACTAACAACCGAAGTGGTATGCTGACTTCGCGTGTTAATCTACTAGCTATCCTGCACCTACTGCAAAAGCAGTTCGCCAAACTCTTCATGATAACTCAAGTACTGTAACGGCAAACATGAATGTCATCACTTACAGATGAAAATCCATCCATGTCTGTTTAAGAACAACCTGTCATCCATCTTGGAAAGGCAAGATCACGAACAATCCTTGTACTGTACAATCTAAGCTCTGTATTTCCCATTTTATCCCCCATTCCGATCGCTCCAATTGCCTCTCATCGCCCCTCTAAAGCCTCGTCACTAGGATTCTCCAATAAGTTAGGAATAAGAAGACTTTCCCATTCAATTACATCTTCTTCATTCACATTTCTTTCAAAACAAAATCTCTCTTCAGATTATATGAGCTCACAAAAAATACGAAATTTTACGTTCTAAAATGATTCAACAATAACAAATGAAGCATAACATAATTCAACTCAATTTAATTATTTTAATTTAAATTTTAAATTATTATTTATTAAAATAGTATTGAAAATTGCAATAATCAGCAAGTCTGTAATTTTTTTCTTAATTTTTCTTAAAAATATAACAAAAAGCAGCCACTTTTGACTAAAATTATAATATTTGAATTCCAGGCATAGCGAGTATTTATAAATTAGATTAAAATTAAACTAAATAAATATATCACATAATTTTTATGTATTCATGCAACTGACAGCTAATTTTTATTTGTTGAGTAATGAAGTATCATGCAAAGTAACGACGATGACTCCCAACCTTTGTACCCTCCAACCGCCGCTCGTCAGTCATTGTAGACTACCAACCACTGCTCGTTGTATGTTGTGGACTGTATGGAGTAACTAAGCACCATCTAGATGGCAACGATGCACATTGCTGAGCAACGAAGTATCATGCGAAGTAACCACGTGCATTCCCCTCTTACTAAGTATTCTAGGAAGCAACGAAACACATTACAGTGTAACCAAATATCCTAAAGAGTAATGACATGCATTGTGGAGTAACTAAGTACTCAGTTGAGTGACTAAGTTTCCTACATACTCAATAATGCAATATTCTAAATACTGTCAAACGACGTGCTCCAAACACGATGTATCAAAAACTCGACGATAACTTTCAACAGCAACTGCGCTCGATTGTTGTACAACAATTTTTTTTTTGTATACGAATATTGTACTCTTAGAAACCTCACAACTCTCAATAATTTCAAATTATTGTATGAATTTATTTTGAAAATTTGAGCGCCCATTCGAATTTCTAAATTTCTGTCAGCAACTCAGGTTTTTTTTCAAGGTCAATAATTTGAGAATTTAAATAAATAAATGTAATTGTATGAATTTATTCCAAATTTATCTCTTCGAATGAAAAGCTTCTCTCAATTCAAAATGTTAAATTCAATTTACAGTTTTGGATCTGAATCTAAGGGGAGATTTGCATAGAGATGCACTTAATTTAATCTTTAATTCCACCTATATAATTATTTATTGGAAGATTTCATGCATATATATATATATA